CAGCAGCCACACACTACACGTCGCTCACATCGGCAGCCACTGGGAACTAGTGCTTGGGTTTTGCCGTCCAGGGAGACGTATGTCACGCAGTTAATTCTGACGTTTGACAGCGCTACAGAATCAAACAAAYGAGGATCTAGGAACAAAAGTCATCTATCACCTGTGGGTATAAAAAATTACAACTTTATTGTCAACATATTTTATCCTTCATATTTTCACTTGAGTATGGAGTTTAAATGAACTGTATTTACCTTACATCAAACACTTCTTGTATGTTCTTTTGTGTTTTTTTTTTCTTTTAACACTGGTAACTCCACAACTCCTCTTGCCTTAAAAGAAGCAAAGGCCCATAAGGCTGCCCTTCCTTTCAGAGATAAAAGCAAGCTTATTTTCTTAATGGAATGGTCTGACAGTCAGCATCTCCCTCTGGAGAGGTGACATGTCGTGACTTGAGGACAACCCTCAAATCTGTGTAGCAGTAACCATAAAGAGGCTTGGCAACTCAAAAGGAGCACTCGCAGTAAAGAGCCCCTTTGCTTGTAGCATCTGCAGGACTGGAATCCTAAGTATTTCAAAACCCCATAATTACATGTATCTCCTTATAACTAGCATATAGAAACTGTCAGAGTGAGATTTTTGCATTTCTCCTCCTGTCAACAGCACAGCTGGGGAGTAAGAAATCTCCCACCTTCACAYCACAGCACTGCAACTTGGATCTTGTTTTGGACAGTATCTGATGTGTCAAAGTCTGAGGCCACAGGGACAAACTAAAAAGCTTGACCAGGAATCACACGTAGTAGCAACATCCACTGCTGCGATGCTCTAGGGTGACTTTTTTGCATGTGAATGAGTCATGTAACCCATCGTACTACAAATATACAGCTCATGCTGTATGGACACCCAGAACCTCCCATGCCAACGGATTGAGACAATGACCTGGAAGAGCATCTTGGTACAGACTTCTTACGGTAAAATTTCAGAAAGCATCCACTTTTCCTAGGCCACATCTATATGTTGTGGCATATTTTCTATTCATTATGCAAAGAATTTTAACTCACTTTTCCAATGCCTTGAAAAAGGGTTGGTCCTTGTTGTACTGCTCACAGACTGACCTTTGGACAATATATTTCCAAAAAAATCCTCTCCTCTCCTCTCCTCTCCTCTCCTCTCCTCTCC